TAGGCCCTGTGTGACTGCAGAACAGCTCCCTTCTCCCAGGCAGCTTCCAGTTTTAGGGAAAAAAGAAGAAATAATGAATTAATACTGGTTATGATTGTGACAGACAATTCTGCAACCTCACTGATAGGTGAGAGTATAACCCCCTCCCCAGAATTGAACTTCTTCAATGCAGCTTCAGAAAGCTTCAATTGGAGAGTACAGGAGTTTCCTCCAGCTCTGGGGTGCTAGGGGCTAAGTAGGAGTTCAGATTTTACAGAAATAAGTTGGGCTCCTGCGCTGCTATCTGAGGGACTTCTTCAGACCTAAAGTAGCTATGTCAGGTGGCCACGTAGTTCAGAAATCTTGGCTGGCTTCCTTTCCAAGGTCCTGAGGGGGCAATAATAAAGAAGTAATAAAAGTGTGATGCAAAGCTCAGTGCAAAGTCTCTTAGTCCTTGGATTGGGCTGCCCTATGTCGCGCGGCTGTAGTAATGCCCTTTCCTGTATGAGCCGGTCACGTTAGCAGTTGAGCAGTCGGAGGGGCTGGGGACACGGGCAGGTGGATGGGAAGGAGTTGCGCTCTGCGCTGCTGCAGAGGAAAACGTGGTATCCAAAATAGGGAAATGTGGGAGTAGTTAATCCTGACTGCTGAAACCGGTGTGTGTTTTGTCATTGGTCTTAATGGAGACGGGATTTTAGCCCAGCAAAGCGTACCGTTGCTCTTAACCCGCTCTGTAAGCTGTTATATGCTTATGGCAAGGTATTACCTGGGATGCCTTGTTATTTCCCTTTGACTTACTTTATATTCTGCTATGCACTCCCATCTCTTTTGAGAACAAAATGCTGCGCAAATGCCTTACGGGCTCTTTCTCTTTCACTGACCTTTTTTTATGACTTTAAAGAAGTTTCCCTAGGCCCAAGTCTGCTTTCTGTCTTGAATATTGACCTTAGAGTTACACCATCTCATTGTCGCTGCACGCAGACTTCTCAGCTATCAAAGTTCACCCACAGGACTCAAAGTATTCCTAACTCAGAAACACCTTACCTTTTATGTCCTCCTCCTCTTCCCCCTCCTCCCTCCACACAAGCATTTTAATTTCACAAGGAAACTCTGTTTCTCTGTGAATTTCGACGAGTGGTTTACCTGTTTCATGGTAAAAAGTGTACTTCAAATTTAAATGTCTTTTTCACTGTGACTGTCATAATATTTTCCATTTGAGGCTTAGACTCCACTGTGGGTTTTCTGTGCCACATTGTCATCTGTACGAATCTGAGCTTAAATGCATGGAAATTCTGACATTTCAGTAAGAAATATAAAGTGTTCTTTTATGTTCTTCACGTTAGCTGTTTCATAGGTATGGCTGCTGGGTTTTGCCCAGTACCCTGGTCTTTCCCAGTTCAACAACAGATTGAAGATTTCTCAAGATTTTGGGCTGGTTTGCATTCACCGTATTGTGTCATTTCTATGAGAATGAGTGATGGTAATTTTTTATCTGATTGCTTACCCTGTATAGGTGATAAAGGAATAATTACCCCAAACCAGGGATTTCCAAACTGACTTTGCTTGGGTGCTGTTACCATTGGCAGCAGTGGTTACATACAGTGCCGAATGTGGTGTCCGTGTACCATGGTCTTCAGTGAGGATCTTCATACCAAGCAAGCTGAGCCAAACTTTGAGTGGCTTCACAGTGGAAATGGCTCCATGGTGGAAAGAGCTGCCTTTATTGGGTCTTGGCAAGCATTTTGGTAGGCTATAGCACTGTTGTGCTCTCTGCCTTCAAGTCAATGTCGTGCCTCGTAGTTCAAGTCACATGTTTTGGGGCCAAACGTTGACTATTAACGTTTACCTACTATACAGTATTTGACAGAGGCTGAAATCTCTCTTGGCAGTCATGTGGTTTCATGCAGTGGTTTATGTGGAACAAAGTCTGCTGTTGAGGAGATCACCAGAATTGAATTCGCTAACACATTTTTTACAGCTTTCTATTGGGTAATATGAAATATGGAAAAATGTACGCGCACTGGCAACGTTCACGTCCACAAATACGAGGGGAAATTTGCAGCTATTTCAATGACTTGACATTTGTCACAACAACAAGGTTTCTCAGATCCAGACCGTATTTGCGGCCTCAGCTAGCTGCACCTCTTAGCAAATGCATTGTGAGAATTGCTGGTGACACAGACTGCTGCTATCAGAACTGATTCCATTGTGGTCTGATCTGATCAATTGTGTTGCAACCCAAGTCAGAGTCACTTTGTGTGATTTTTTTTTTTTTTTTTTCTCTTCAATAGTATATATCAGATTTTTGACATGTGGGGCTATGATGTGATTGCATCCGTAGAGCAGGGGGGACAGAATTTGGAAATGAACCCGAGGGGGCTTATATTTAATCCTACTCAACTGGAGCTCACAAACTGCGTTCTTCACAGTTGTATCAGAGCAGCTTCCAGTCGTGTATTAGGCAACATAACTAACATTTGTCATGTGTTGTTTATTCTCTAATCTTCTCCCCAGAGGAAGGAACCTGTGTGCTGGAGTATTTCTTTCCTTGGGGAGTTATGTTCCTCAAATCCCATATTTTCTGTAGAAATTGTGCCTTTATCATTGGCTTTTATCATCTCTATGAACCTTGAAATTTGATGGAATTTGGGTAGCTGACTATCGTAGATATCATTGGAAACGCTCGGCCTTATGTTTCTGAAATCGTTGCATTGCAGGGAGCAGCCATTTGAAGAAGTGTAATACAAACTTTTTTTTTATTGTTGATTTTTTTTATATATTGTCAGCGTGGAGCAGAATATGTTTCTCTATGCTAAATGATAATATATTTAATTAGTTGTATCTGCCTCTTGAAATCTGAAAACAATCATCCCTTTCCCTTGTGTCTTACAGTTTAACTAAGTTGCTTGATAACCTGGTATAACCTAACCAGGTGGGCTAATTCAGCTGTGCTTCGGCTCAGTTAACTTAATCCCTTCAGTTGTATTGGATTTTTTTGATCCATTTAGCTGGACTCGTTTTTTTGACTGACTTAGCTTCTAATAAAGGTGTCAGAGTGGCAGACATTGATGCCGTCTAGATGCATGATGAAGCATTGTAGTGGTGATGATAAAAGTCTTTCCATCCTAGGGAGCCACCAGTGTGTTTTCCTAAAGGTGCTTCTAGAATGAGATGGCTGGTTTATGGTTAAGAGCTGAGGCTTGATCCGGGTCGTTCACATCAAGGGCAATTACTCTGGGAATGATAATGAGCCTCACACTTGGCCTCCACTGAGATTTCCAGTACCAGCGCCAGCTACGGCAACAGTGTAAGCTAGTGAGGAAAATAAAATAAAGACTACAACAACTGTTTGGTCTAAGACACACTACTTTACTGAGGATAAGCCTTATCTCTAAGTAAAGAGAAGTAAATCTAGTCTGGATGCTTTTTAAAAGCAGCTTTTTTCCCCCGCTGGCAAACTTGCTTGTGTCACTGAACTGCACACAGAAACAAACTTTTTGAGAAAAACAGAAACTTTCTGCAAGTGTGTTCATTTCATCGAATCCCTTTTTTCTGAGACGAAAACCTCTGAAACTTTTTGACCAGTTCTGATAGTGGAGACTTGGGCATTTTCATCTTCCATCATATGGGTGATGTGGGGCACACACTGTGGGATGTGCTAGTCCTGCAGAACCCCAGAGAATTTCCCTGACTCTGGGTCTTTGATGTTTAGGGCTTCAGCCCCAACGCAAGGAGCCCTCTGCCCGGCTTCTTGTTGGCCACGGGTGTCCTCCCCGCAGTTTCCCCTGCACTTTCCCATCCCAGTGGTGACAGTGCATTTTGGCTGCAATTAGTACAGCTTGGATTTCATTAAGTAAATGACCATGAAAAGCTGTCAGTATTGGGACAAACCCAATAGAAACATGTATATTATCCAACAGAGGACGTTCTCAATTTTTTTGGCTGGAAACTAAAATTCTTACCTAACATTTTCGAGATTCTGGAAGAAGTTTGACCATCCTCATCCTTCAGCCAGCTCTAAAAATTGCAGCCAATGGAGTTTTACTAGACTTGCAGTACTGACTTAATAGCTCTTTAGTTATTAGAGAATAAATGTTCATGTTCTACAAGTTTATATTAAAAGCCTTTATTAGCACAGCTTGGCAAAATACACTTCTGGCTAGCTTTCTGGCCTTGGGTTAGGCCATTCTTGTGGTTTCTTAATGACATGCTATGAAAAGGATATACTTTATGAGAATCTGGTGCCAGGTTTTGCATGTATTAAGAGGCATTTGCCGTTTGTTCATAATGCTGCCGAGTAAAACAAAAACATTTTAAAATTGGAGTTATATCTTGCATTTTTTCTGGCTTGATTTTTATTCTAGATGGCCTTTTATATATATGTATACCCGTATTTATATTATATATATTTTAATATTGTCTGGTCTCTGTGAATTACTGGTGGCAACTGAGTTCTGGCATGTAACAGTGTTGTTACCAAAGTTACTTTCTGTTGCCTTTTATTTTCCAACCTTCCCTTCATAATTTTGGCAACATTTTCTCAATGAAAGAACAACTCCTCTGGGCCACGTAATGGGTTTCCCCACAGTTGGGAGCAGAATTAGGCCACTGGGGCAGCTCGTTTTTGTGAAGGCAACCGTTCGTGCCATGGGCAAAATGTCTCAGAAGTTTCTTTCCCACAAGACACGGTGACACACAGGCAATGCTGAGGTGTGATTCAGCTGTTTGGTTTGTTTTCCCCTCTTGTCGTCTGTTTATTTGCTTTGCGACCAACAAGTCCGCCTCTTTTTCCTTCTGCTGATACGGCGCGTTAGTGTGAAAAACGCATGGGGTGAAGTACCCGGTGGGTGGGAGGACGTGTGTGCGGTGGGAAAATGGGGCTGGGAAAAAGGTCTGGGACTCGAGTAACCTTTCTTGGGTGTCTTTCCATCGCAAGAGCTGTTTGTTGCAACGGTGTGATTTTTTTGATAGCAAAAGTGGGTTGAAGTGGATTTGACCTGATGCTCTTGTTCTTTCCGCAGTGGGGAAGCCTCACAAGTGCAACTACTGCGGCCGGAGCTACAAGCAGCGCAGTTCGCTGGAGGAGCACAAGGAACGCTGCCACAACTATCTGCAGAACGTCAGTATGGAGGCTGCCGGGCAGGTCATGAGTCACCATGGTGGGTGGAAACTACCTCTTGAGGTCTCTCGGACTTGGAGCATCTCTTGGGGTTTTTTTTTCCATCTGTTTTTCTTCCTTCTTTTCAGCTTTGCATCACTTCCGTCTTACAGATTGCTTATACTCAGATAGGCAGAAAGAGAAAAGATGGGTGAAGTCTTCACTCTGTCCAATTTAATAGCACTGGTTTTGCTGGATTTATTTTTTTTTTTTTAAAGTCAGTATTTCGCCTTCTAGTATGTATAAATATACAGTCATGAAAATAAAGCAAAGCCACCTGTGCGAAGTAACCCTAAAAATGAACTCAGCCATGTCTAAAATGTATGATTCCCCTCCCCTTCCTTTCTGATAGTGGCTGGTTATTATAAGAGATAAGGATGATGGAGGTATTCAGGAGTCATTTTTTCTACTCCCTGTAATATTATCTTATATCCAAAAAAAAGGGAGGGATATATATATAAAAATTTCCAGAGCAGAATGGAACTCAACAGTGTTGATGAAAGTAATTATAACCAAAGAAAAAAATGTTTATATGCATTTACATGTGTTAGTATTAATATGTTAATTAACACTGCATGTGTTAATATACATAAAAACTGAAGATTGCCAAAAAGATTGTTGAAAGCAAGAAATGTCAAACTCTGTAAATTTGTTTTCAAAAATTTCCATAGCTATTAGTATGGGTAGTGAGCATAATGTCTCAGACTTCAGGGCTGTAGGCTTATCTGTAGCACTGAATGCTGAAAGGTAGCTGTCCAAAAACTGGTACAATTTTACTCAAAATTAGTGTTTCAGAAACTTTTCTAAAACAGAGCATCTTTTAACTTTCAAAAGTTGTCTTCAGATGTTTGGTACTTTAAATATGTAAAACTTTTTATTAATCAGAAAATACAAAAATTAGATGCTTTCCATTTTGGTTAAAAATTACCATGTATCTGAGAATACCAAAAAGTTAGATTGTAGGTAAATGAAAAGGCAAAAGAACATTTCCTCTTTTCTTTTTTGTCATTTTGCTTTTCATTGTTGAGTGGAGTCATATGGCTTCATTTGGAAATTAATTGCGTAAAAGTTCTGAAAGGTCATTTCTAAAAAACCTGAAGATACAACCTGAAATAAAATCTATTCAGCGTTTCTAATATGGGTTATTTTTTGGTGGAAAAAAAATAACCAAAAAAATTTTAAAGGGTACTTTTTCATGAACAATTTAATCCTATAAAGATGTTCTAAACGTATTTAATACGTATTGCCAAAACGTTCATACAGCTCTATTAAGTAATTGCTATATTTTTAGACACCCTGGAGACTAAAAACAACATTTAAAATGAAATTAATAACTTCAAAGACATTAAAGTTAGTGATTATCTGCTTTAGACCTGACTTTATGCTTGTAAAAGTCAGTGGAAAAACTGATTTCAGGGCTTTGCCGTTTGCAGGTACCTGTTGTGTGCTTGGTCCGTTAGATGGAGCGCTTGGTTGATAGTAGGATTTTAACCACTGACTCCATTCCTAACAAAATACACTCTACAAGGGTGTGCCTGTTGTATTAACCATCTGGATGATGATTTCAGTCAGCCTTTCCTTAGGGAAATAACAGTAGACTTACATAATTATGACAGCCAGGCTATTTCAGAGGTCATATTGTGGAGGACCTTTCCAAATTCTACTCAACTTCTGGGTTTATTATTCAGTTATTTATTAAAATCGGGTTTAGTCTTGTTGATAATGTACTTCTAAAGCTTTTTCTAAGCTGCTTAATGCTATGACAAGAAGAGTAACTCCTTAACCTTGTCTACCAAGAGAAGCTGGAATGGTTGACCTTGCATTGATTTTCCTACCAACTGAAGTTAAACCAGTGCAAACCCCATGTGGACGGTTCTTTTATTTACAGCCTGACTGACTTTGCTTGGGCTTAAAATAGAAATGTTCACACAGCCACTTCACTTTTCTCAACAAAATTAGCTTAAAACAGCACTTTGAATTCAACTAGTGCCTTTTTCTCCTCTGGGCAAGTATGTCTAAATCTCCCCTGGTGAATGTTTAAGGGGATGTTTGATCCACTGTCTTCGTTTAGCTGTTTAGTGAGTGCACAGCGAGGACAGGCAGCGACAGGGAGCTCCAAATTCAGCTGGGACCAGTAATAAATCTCACCTCGCGTTCCAGCACAGCTCCCACCCATGAAGCTCAGCACGGGAGTGACGGTCATGAGCAGCAGCCTGTAGAGGTCTGCAGCAAAGTCCTTTCTCCTGGGACTATAAAGACACCAGGGAAGAGTATGCAAATGATTACTCAGCTCAAAGTTAGGTCTTAGTCTAACCCTGAAAAATGTATTAATTTCCTTCTCTTCCATGTCACATATGGAATGGATATTCCTGAGGATGAGTGGGTGTACGCTTCAGAGATTTTGATCATTGCTTTATTTTGCATCACATTGGGGTTAAGCTTTCCCAACTCTCTTTCCAAATACTTTTTAAGTGTTTTGTCCTTGCTGAGTGTTTTGAAGCCTCTGAATGCATTTTGGTATGGCTCTTGGTCACAGCTTCACCACGGTGCACAGAATAGATAGGAATGGGGATTTTCTTATCCCAACCAGCATCCTGCTTTAAGGACACAGGTGGCTATGCTTGGTCTCCACCAATATGGCCAACATCTAACATCTGTCTAAATTATTTCTGCAGAAATGAATTGTTCCAGAAAACTGGAGGCAGCTCCTAGAGAGTTTGGAATATTTTCAAGCACTGTTCTCAAGTTGATCAATTTATAGGCATGCTACAGACATCTACTTGGGTGCTTTCGCAGCGGCCTGCTGAGGCCTTTAATTTCAATTATCTTTGTCTTGCAGATGGCTAGATCACCTGACTTAAAGCCACATGGGGAAGAGAGAGGAGGGGAAAGAGGGCTACTTTCAGTGTGTGGGTAGGAATGTGCAAGTCTCCTGGTCCCTCTGCATCATCTTGCAGAGTGCCGGTTGCTTGCTGAGCTGCCCCTCCTTGTGGCTAGCTCCTGTTGCCTGCTCAGCACCACGGCTGCTGCAAGAGACCTCCCATGACTTTGTTGTTGACAGTTTTCTGCTAAACAGTGCTGGCCCCGAAGGTAGAAATTAGTCTGCGGTCTCCTAGTTAGCGGTGTGTTGGGTGTGACAGAAGTGACAGTCTCTGAATGCCAAGAACGTGACCTTTGTGGGAACAAACAGGGAGAAATATTGAAGGCTGGCTATGGTTTACACCTGGTTATATGTTGTTCTCCATCTCCACAAAGCAAAAAGTCCAGGGAATTTCTTAAAGTGGGGTGCGGAAGGATACTCTTTAGGAGAAGGAGAAAGAAGCCTAGCCCTAGGCTGTGCAAGGCTCAAAGGCCAGCTCCACAGAAAACACACAATGGCCTTGTGTCCTTCCCCCTTACAGAGTTGCTTAAAACATCGTTAAAACACTGGTCCCACTGGACACTTCAGACAGGGCCCATGGGAATATTTCCTGTCATTTCTCTGCGTGCACACACTTTTTTTAAATAGCAGTATTGTGAGCTTCAGAAAGGAAATTGAAGTTGATGGAGTAATACTAATTTATACCCGCTGAGACTTAGCCCAGTGTCTGTTGTCTGCACACAAAAGTATTTATCAGCAAAACGCACACTGGAACAGCATAAACTTTTCTAGTAGTATGTATGTGTGGTTTCTTACAAATTAAGAATCAGAAACGAAAAGTTAGTCACTTTGGGCACTATGATTGAAAGACCAATGTCTTCAGGAAAATAAAGTCTTTGTTCTGAAGACAATCCATGTTTGTGTATTGAGGGTTTGGGCTTAGAAACAACATTGGGTGTTAACTGCAATTGAGGACATTAACAGTGTCAGAAGTGGTGAATGTTTGCATGGGCAGTCCACGAGCACGCCTTGGTAGCTGATTAAGCACATCCCTGAAGAGAAACGTACTAAAATTTGAACTTTTAGAATTAAAAAGCCTTCCTGAGCTCCTGACCACAGGTTCACAGCCTAAAATGAGTTGCTGTATCAAAGCTAGTTATAACATGTCAACTGTTCTTGGGTAGCTCCCACTACCAAGGGAATGAAGTACAATGAAATACAACAAAAAAGGAATTGCATTTACCGCAGAGTAGATGTGTACACATGAGCTTCTACCACAGAGCAGCTGATTTGTGATAACTGTTGGTTGTGTGTGATCAGTTTGCTTTTCCCCTTTTTAATTTTTTTATTTTTCCTCAAAATGGAAATATTATGCAGCCTGGGCTGTTTGCCCTTTATTTGTATATTTTTACATTGAAATGAAAATTAATGTATCTAAAATTGACAATGTGATTTTTAGCTTAACTCTTTGGGTTTCTAAAATGTGACATCTCACCTGTTTGGTCGGGTTTTGCATGCAATTTAAATGGTTTCAGAAACTAGACTACTTCCATCTCTCCCTTCTCCCAGGAAATCTACATGACAAAACACATTTCCAGTAACTTATTCCCCTCGCAACACAAACATTGGCATGATTCCGTGATTCTGTTGCAAAAGAGCCGTGCTCTGGATTATAGAGTTGAGTTCTGAGGTGGGAAAAAGAGCTTGCAGCATGAAAGATAGAAAAGAAAATGCTTTTATTGGTGACGATGTTACTTTTAAAAAGAGTCCAAGCAGAATTTTTGCCTGACTGAGAGAAGAGCAGATGTCTTTTTTAGCACTATTCATTTTTCATGGAAGAAAGGTTTCAAAATCCGTCTAGTAAATTTTACACACATATGCCCAACAGTAGAATTATTTAATTATTACTTCTTCGTTGTAAGACATACAAATGTCAATGCATTTGGGGCTTAATCATATGGCTATAGAAGTAATCAGGAGGTTTTCAACTGACTTTGTGGGCAAGTACAGTCCTACAAAGCCAGCATACCTTTAGAAAATCTTCCTAGGAGGGATTTAGAGCCCTCTACGCCTCCCTACGTACCCCCCTACTAGCCTTGTATGTCCTGTACACCAACGACTGGAAGTCCTTGAAGTGGCACTCGTGCAAACCTGGCCCATCGCAGTGAGGATGGCTGTTGCCACTGAGCAGGGATCCAGGGTTTCACGCAGAGTGTGTGTGCACGTGCATGCATACACTCTTTTTTGGTAAGCCAAAAGGACGGTCAGATGCCAGTTCCCAGTGAAAATCAGCAGACAGAATCTTTCCTTTCTTCCAAAATCTTCTCTGTAAATACTTGAGTAGAACTAGTACAGATAGCTCCCGACCAAGCACGCTATTTAAATAACCTTAAAAATTTAACCCTAACTATTAAAGTATGCCAGACCTCCCAGTCTGCACTGGGCATTAATTAGGTCACTTGAACACTGCATCCCATTTTGTTGCAACATTAGATTCATTTCATATTTATGCTTTTTCTTCCTCTCTTTCACTGATGCCAGCAGGACTGCCTTGTAAATGAGAAACCATTGTGTTTCTCAGGGGGAGCATCCTGTACAAATAAAAAAGCAGCAGAGTAAATCAGTTTATAGCATATGGTAGATTCTAAGCCTCAAAGTACTCAGCTTTCCATAGCAGCGGAGGCACAAACGGAATCAAATGAATAAATTGCCATGTTTTCTTATTATGAATGTCTGAATTTAGAAGTTCACCTGAGCAGATACTCTGTTTTGTAATTGCCTGGTATTTGTTCTTCCATACTAGAAAGAAGGCAAAGACAAGGCTTTTATCACCCCATTTTTCATATATTATGTGCTAGCAAACAGCTGCATGTTTAAGAACAGGGGAGTGATTATTCCATATTAGGATCCTGAAGGTAGTAAAGTTACCTGGGAGGAAAGTAGGCTGGTGGTATTCACTTATGGCACACAATGGGAGAAGGTGTCTGTGACACAGAAGGCTGCTATAATGAGAGACCGGAGGAGGAGTAGCAGAAGATAGGGGTTTCAGTCCTTCTGTGCTACCTCTGCAGTACCACCTGTGACTTCACTGGGAAATTTATCTAACACAGAGTATGCACTGGGTTGCTCACTTTACAAATTGTGGGAACTTTGTGCAAGATCGTCCCAGTTTCTATTTCTTTGCTATCCATTCTTCCCCTCAAAAAATCTTCTACACCTCAGCCATGCCCTTAGCACATGGACTAGTGGCTGATCCTTCTCAGGTTTCTCTTGCTACCTTCTGGAGATGAATGCAGGGCAATTAGGCCATGTATTAAATTCATGGCAGCAGAACAGAGCTACACATGGAATCACACTTGACATATACTGCAAATGACTCGGACTCTCCGAGCCTGATCTGCAGCACAGTGCCACTGGCCCTCCTTGGTGTTTATAATGAGATGCTGAACAAAATCAGGGTGCTTTGTAGGTATTTAGTGTAATCGCTATGTCAGCAAGTGACATAAAACCCTGCGCAAGTTGGCCACTACCCTGGTCAGAAGCCTGTGCAATTCCTGTGCTTCGTTTGCTCTAGCACCTTATTCCCTAACCCAAGAAGCGGTGAGGAGTGAAATGAGTAAAGGCAGAAGAGGTCGTTGATTTGTTGTTATTGTCTCAAATGAGCATTCCCCTAACATAGCACAGGAATGCTTCCTGCTGATCCCAGAGAGTGGGAAGACAGACTCAGAAGACTTGCATTCACAGTTGTTAGGTCTGTGTTTGAAGGGATAAAATATCGATCAAAACATTGATAGTTTATGCAACTGATTCTGAAGGGAATTTCCATACAATGTTAATGCTGTAATTCCAGTACAGTGTTTGTTGATTTTACAATCTCACGTATAGAGAGAGGAAACATGCTTTAACAAACAGATCCTTCTTTTGGGAAGCCTTTGTCTTGGGGAACACACAGCCAGGCCCAGGAAGCACAAGTCATCAATGACTTGTATGTTTTTTAATCATTGAGATTAGCACAAAAAGAAAGCAAGAACAGTAAGTGTGCCGTATGATAAGCGTGAAGTTAAGGGAATACACAAAGAATGCTAACTAAAAAGCTACATTGGCAACAGGTGACAATATTGAAGGGAGAATGATAGAAAACGTCATCTACAGAGTGAATTTTCAAAAGTGTCCCCTCCTCACTGGAGATCTTGAGTATTCAGAACAAAACAAGTCCTTTAATAAATGCTTATAGTTGGGCTTCTGCTAACGAAGAGGGTCCCAAAGAGAGGCAATCTGTAAATGTGGCTCTGCTTAAAGGTGGTTGCTATCTTGATGCCCAGTGTGTTCTTGCACCTTGCTTTATATTGTGTTGCACTTGTTGCGCAATCAGCAGGGCTCAAATGATTTGTGTTGTCTGTGAAGTGTAGACCAGACTTGTCTGATACGATTTTTTGGTTTTATGTAGTACCTCCTATGGAAGATTGTAAGGAACAAGAGCCTGTGATGGACAACAATATTTCTCTGGTGCCTTTTGAGAGACCTGCTGTTATAGAGAAGCTGACAAGCAACATGGGAAAGCGTAAAAGCTCCACCCCACAGAAGTTTGTGGGTAAGCTTGAAATACGCCTTTTATTATTTTTAGTGTGTAGGTATAGGTTACTTGTCATCTATAATAGCCAAAAGAATAAGGGGAAAAGTAGCGTGCTCAGAACTTGTTGTGATGGGGAGGGACAACAATGGAGATGGTTAAATTACAGCAAGAAATCATGAAAATTATTGAATTAATTTTACCAATCCAGAGAATTCAAAAGTGAGGTCCCCAGAATCATGAAAATGGTTTAGAATATCTCGAGCTTTTTACCGTGCCTTAAGGCTGTTTTGGTTTTTTTTAACTTTTCTCTGGCCCTTTTGAGATTTAGACTTGTCACCTTCCCTCTCCTTGCGCCAGCAAATAAGAACGAAGGCTCTCATATAATTATCTGACTCCATATGTGTGTGTGTTAAAAAAACAAACAACAAGTATCTTAAGACTTGTAACTTGTATTAAATTCTTGAGAGTTGGCAACAACTGGTCTGATAATGCCGGCATGAGGAAGTAAAATCACATCGCTTCTGTTGGCAGAAGTGCTTGCTTCAAGTGCAGCATTCTGCACACAATAAACTTATTAATGCATGAATATAAAACAGCGTTGAATGACTTTTGGTTACCAAATTTAGAATCCTAGGCCCAGAATTCATATATTGCTTTGTGTCTTGATATCTTAAAATGATTCAGCTTCTAACAGGAAACAGTATGGGTTTGAGCTGTAGTTTAAAGCTTCTTTTTACTGCTACTGAGGCAGTGCTGAACTTCTTAGGAGAGGAGCTGGAGAGGAGCTGGGATGGGGAATTATTTGGGGGAAGTGTATGCTGCTAGGCTCCAAAGTCATGCAATATGCATTTTCCACACTCAGTCCCTGGAAGGACAGTTGTGCAGAATTTAAGGGTGTCATATACTCATTCTGCCTACACTGAGGACACTTACGGAGAGAGGATCAAAGGACTGTAAGCAATTAAGGCAACCATTTAGAAAAGTCATTGCCCCTCAGCTAAATGCAGATTCAGATGGATTTGTTAAATCACCACTTGAAGGTGGTTTTAAGCTAACCCACATGATTTTGAATAGTAGGGAGCTAGCAGCATGCAGCAGCTCACCTGGGGGGCACTAACACACTGACCTGGCTGCTCTCAGCCATCTGACCATTCCCAGGTATCAGTGCTAAGCCAAGGTTAGGTCAGGAACAATCCAGCCCACAGGAGGAACACTGGGAGGCATCAGTATTACCTGTGTTGTTATTAGTTCCTCTGAGACAAAAGCTTAATTCTTAGGCTGTTGTCTTTAAGAGTGGTCTGAAATGAGTTACTATACAGCTGACAAGAACTGGAGGATTTATACTCTGATTTAATTTACTGCGATGACAACAGCTGGGGTTGAAGAGGATGGAAATGGGAGCAGGCCTCTCTACTGACAAGCCAATTCGAGCTTTATGAGGTTGTAAACATGGCCCCATCATAGCAGGTTTCCCTAGCGTCGTCTCAACAAGTGCTGCACGTTCATGCAGGTTGTGATCAACAGTGAAATAGTTAACCGTGCTGAGACTTAAACTGGTGTGTCTATACCTCAGAAACATTACAGCCTCAAAAGAAAGAAGGGCACTGCACACCTCTTGATCTTTTTTCCCCCCGGGTTGTCCACTGACTTGAACAGAATTGTGTTTGCAATATCTCTCAGAGGTTATCTTTGCAGGGGCTAGAAACTGAGAGAGCTGGAGACCTTGCTCCCTTCCCTTAAATTCTGGTTTACCCATACCTGTTTTCAAAACAGTATAGTTCACTGATTGTAAATATACCTCTCAAATGAGGCAACCCACTTTTTGGATGGTATAAATTTAAACCGTTTTTGGAATCTGTAGATTATAGTCTCTTTTTTAGATCAGGAAGGTTACTTTACTTGTCCATTTACATGGAATTAACCTTATGTTGTTATTGTCTTCAAAGGCACATTTACTGGTAGGAAATCCTTGCCCGAGATACACTATAGCAGATTATTATTCTCATCAGTAGGGTATGTTACTTTGTTGTTAGAGAAACTGGTTTCTTCTATAGGTGTAACAGATCATTTTGGTATTGCGTTTTCCTGGGGCTAGGAATTCAGGATTTCACTTGACATGCAGCTTTTTTGTCCAGATCCAGCTGTAGGGGGAAAGTGTCCTCTTTCATATTTACCATATCTTATTTTTTCTGCCTTTTCTGATCTTTCATGGCATAACAGTGTTTGAATTGAAAAACAGCACTCTCTGCTTTGCTACTTTTCTTTTTTTCACCATGACCTTACTTTTCTTCCCATTTTCTCTGCGATGAAATATTGTTCAACTCTATCAGGAAGAACTTGTAATGGTTCTCTTGCTTGCAGGAAATTTTCCTGTGCGTACTGCAAGTATGGCACCTGTCCAAAACAACTTAATGGTATTTATGAGAAGGTCATGTAAGCATAAGCTAAAATCTTTGCATGCTACATCTGTCAATGCTTTACTGCTCTTTCTGATCAGCAATCTCCAAGGGACCTTGGTTACGGACCACAGTCTCTACTCTGGCTGAAATTTCGGGAGGCGAGGAAGCAGCATATGGCAAATAGAGTTAACTTCTGAGTGAGAGACTTGGTTATATATCTGCTGTTGAGGCACTAGTCTTACCAAACCTGTTGAAATACTGGAGGCAGAAACTATAACTTATGATGTGCAGGAGTCAGAGTAGTTCTTTTTGCCTTTCCTTCAATGAAGGGAGAAGCAGACGCTAGTGAAATTGAAAGCAACCATCATCAACCTGATCACATGAAGCAAATTCACGTATTTTCAGTTTGAGTATGATGCTTACTCTCCCAGAGTGTCACTGGGGTTAAGAACTGTCGGGATGCAAAAGGAGACATTTATGTGGCTTATGATAAGACCACAGTTGTTATAGTAAGAATTAAAAATACACAGGCATCTCAGAACAGATGAAGATCAACCAGCTTCAAAATTAGAGTCAGCTTCTAGTTAAATGGGAGTAAGGAAGACATTTACCCAGTGGTAGATTCTGTAACTGCTTCCTCTGAGATTTCTTGCAGCTTTCTCCCAACTGTCCAGCGTTGCAGTTGCTTTAGATACTTGGTGAGATGGACTGCAGGTATCACATCACAGGACCGCTGTGTCTGTGTGCTTTTATCTAGCTTCAAATACCTGTTTTGAAGTTTATTTGAATGTCATACAATAAGATAACCACCGTGGAAAATGTTTCCTCTTCTACTTCACTAATGTATGGCAAGAATAAATAGAAATTGAACATTATTTTGTGTGAAAATTCTAAATGATGAATCTGGTTAGTTCTAAGTACAGATTTGGCTAAAGAGGAATTAAAATTGAAAACCATGTTGCACTGATTTATTAATGTTTCTTCTGAGCTCTGTGTTTTATGCCCTCTCCTCCCCATGTTATAATTTATTTTACTTTTTTAATGTCATGCTCCATTTCTAAGGCTCTGACATCTTTGGAACCGGTTCATAATTAAAAGAATGAATAATTCAGGTTACTGGCAATTTAGTTTTCTCTGCTCTCTGTGGTGGAGTAGCTAAATGTGGAAGATAAAAGAATCAAAATAAGGTTTGCGTCATTCATGCAAGTAGTCCATAAAGGATAGGTATTATTTCTATATCTATATAGCCTACAAAGGACTGACTTCGTTCGGTGGCTGGATCAGGCTCTCACTAGATCCAGTTCTTTATTCAAATGCAGGAATAATACAGGTGGCCAGAGCAGGTGACAGAGACCAATGGCCATTTTCATTTCTTTTTTCCCACTGTGCCAAAGACATCATGTGCCTCCTGGAGCTCTCCTCCAGTCCCACTTTGGCCCCAGCTGGGAGGGAGCTGCTCAATTGCAAGTGAGGCTGGAGCCACCTCCTGTTAGAGAGTTGTCCATCCGATCAGCGGCAGGACAGCCATCGCAGACAGCAAGACTGCCAGCCCACGGCAGAAACACTCAAAACAGGATGTTTGATGGCAAGAATCATCCTTAGGTCATGTTAGATTACAAAGGCTGTCATTGTAGCTTCTTCCTTCATATTTTTCTCCAAATGTCTGCTGTGTAACAGGAACAGTTTTCTACATTATGCTGCTTTTTGGTCAGCTATAAGAGTAGCACAGCCAGCTGTAGGGAAGGGTAGTGAAGTACATGAACATGGTGTCTAATCAGAAACATGTAAGCAACACTGCTGTAGAGAGTAGGAATGTTTGCGTGCTTAACTTTAGACTTGCGTTTCATTACCTTGCTAATCAGGGCTAAATTCCCAACCCAAACTGATGCATCATCTCCAAGGATAACCTGATTGTTCCATGGGTAATGTAAAATTATTTCTCTCTTTATGCATCACTTTAAGATAAGCTGCGCTAAGTGGAATGAATTGTTATAGTCAAAAATAAAATGCTGAGTGATAGCTATGTTGAAATGTACTAATGCTATTTGGAAGAGATTTGGGATTACAGTTCTGTTTCTTTCTTATGGTGGTTTATACACATTTTGTTCCAAGCAATTTTGGCAAAAGGTGATAGAAGATTCTTGAGTTCTTTAATTCTTGGATAGCCAAACTAGTTGTATGTAGTGACTCCTTGAATTTATTAGCTTACACTATTGAAGAAAAGTCTGGGTTTACGTACCGAGGCAGTGAAAAGTAACAAAGACAATGAAAATCAACCAAAATTATTTATCAGACTTTGTAAAATCAGCTTAAAAAGTTAACCAGCTGTTATTTGTGTGTGTGTGAACATATATGAGCATGTATATCTTGTATCTTACACGTAGTTTTACGTATAACCTTTTCTATTTAAAAAGAAGGGTTATTATATGAACTTTCTTGTACTGACACTCTAAAGCCATCACTGAAAAAGCAATGCTGCTGAGCTGAGCCCTGATGTAAGTAGTGGTAAATTTGTTAACTTCGAAGGAGAGCTGTGATACGTAACATACCCTGTGACTAGCATAATTTACCAGCATGTGGTTCTGGTTTCACATATCTGTAGTGCCATTGATTTAAAAAGGTTACAGGGATGTGTATTTGGATTCACAGAGTGATGAATCAGCCAGCTTCTTCATCATTATGTATTTATTTATCCTGTGTCAATTAAAGTTGCTTTTGCCTTTTACCAAATTAAACCAAGCTATATGTGTGGTTTCTCTATTTTGTTTTCTTACTTAAATAGACACGGGGTGTGTGAATCTTTTTTTCTCAGTCCAAAACATTGGGATAGGATTATTTTTTTTTGAGGAAGCAAACTACAGAGATATTATAGCCTGAACGCGAGATGGCAGGTCAGCGTCCAGTGCTCCTATTACTTGTTTCATTCTGTGGCCACATGCAGTCATTTTATTTTTTTTTTTTTATGCTGGTTGAAGGATTGTGCCACCATACCAGCCACTTCTGTACCATTGCTTAGGTTTCTCACTATGCAGCCCTGTTGTAACATACGTATGAGGAACCTCAGAGTGTGGGGGATACATGGTGTACTGCCTCCTCTAATTTTGGGAAAGTTTGTCTAATGATATAAACTGTTGGAGCTTCATTGACCTCAGAGGTTCAATCCCATTTTCTACCAGTTAACATGTGTTTCCTAACTTGAAGTACAGGCACAGTCAGGCCCAGCGGAAGATTTAAAATCAGTCTGGAGGTCACTGCAGCTACATGCTTCACTATACAAAAATAAAAAAAAAAATAAATAAAAAAAGATGTTGGTGAGGTTGCTGTTTTACCCATCTCAGGAGAGGAACTTTGTAGGAGGTCAGTAAACAAGTAGAAGGAGGCTAACTTTCACCCCAAGCCGGGGGTTTCCTGTCCCTCCCTACCCCTTTTACAGTGAAGCCTTAGAAGGATTACATTGATTTTTCTCATTCATTTGCTCTTGTCCCTTAGGTGAAAAGCTCATGAGATTTGGCTATCCAGATATCCCCTTTGATATGAACCTAACCTATGAGAAGGAGGCTGAGCTGATGCAGTCTCACATGATGGACCAAGCCATCAACAATGCAATCACCTACCTTGGAGCTGAGGCACTTCACCCCCTGATGCAGCACACACCAAGCACAATTGCAGAGGTGTCCCCGGTCATCAGCTCAGCTTACGCTCAGGTCTATCATCCGAACAGGATAGAAAGGCCCATTAGCAGGGAAACAGCTGACAGTCACGAGAACAACATGGATGGCCCGATCTCCCTCATCAGACCAAAGAGTCGAACCCAGGATAGAGAGGGCTCCCCCAGCAATAGCTGCCTGGATTCTACTGACTCAGAGAGCAGCCACGAAGACCGCCAGTCCTACCAAGGAAACTCTGCCTTAAATCCCAAGAGAAAGCCAAGCCCGGCTTATATGAAGGAGGACGCCAAGGCTTTGGATGCCACAAAAGCTTCTAAGGGCTCTTTAAAGGATATCTACAAGGTCATCAATGGAGAAGGGGAGCAGATTAGAGCTTTCAAGTGTGAGCACTGTCGCGTCCTTTTCCTGGACCATGTCATGTACACCATCCACATGGGCTGCCACGGCTACCGGGACCCGCTAGAGTGCAACATCTGTGGCTACCGAAGCCAGGACCGCTATGAGTTCTCGTCGCACATAGTCCGAGGGGAGCACACATTCCACTAGGCCTTCTCATCCAAAGGGGACTCGTATGAAGTAGAAGAACTGCACATGAAGAAATACTGCACTTACAATCCCACTTTTTCCTCAGACATTGAGACGCCTATTTTGTTGTTGTTGCTGTTGTTGTTGTTGCTGTTGTTTAATTATTATTATTAACCTTATTTTTTGTGGACCCAACCTCATTTGCTCTGCCCAGCTTAAGAATGGAAAGAAGGAAGGGAAGGGATAAAACAGGGGATTGTTGTTGCTGTCACTTTTTGGTGAGTGACCTGCCTCGCTTTCTGTGGGAATTGAAAGGCAGTCCGTTTCTGTCTCAATCAGCTGTACATCATGTCCTGTTTCGGGATATCGCTCAACCCTGCTAGGTGCTTTAAAGTCCCAATGAGATGCCACTCGTACAATTTCAGATGAATAGGTAGAAACATTTTGGAGGAGAGCCTTTGTCAAACGTGTAGATACGGTGCAGGGTGTTGGTGGCTGAAGGAGGGGGGAACTTTATTCTGCAGAATGAACAATTATTTTTAAAGCAAAACTGTTAGGGGTTTAGGAGCACGAATCAAAGTCGATATTACTTTCTAGGGTGAGCTGTTTTCCTGGGTTCAGTGTGTATTGCCCCTCTAGAATGTTTAAAAAAAAAAAAAGAAAAAAGAAAGAAAAAAAAAGAAATGTATGTCTTAACACTGTACCACATTACAGCAGTTTAGTTTCATAAGTCTGAGGGCCTTCTGTGGTAAGTCCGAGGCTTTGTATTTTTATTTTCCTTAACTTATGAAGCACCTTTTTTAGAATTGTTGATTTGCTGTTACTCCATGCCTATGTGTTGACTCACTGGCTTCTTAGAGACCCTCGGGAGCCTTACTTACTTAGTTGCACCCTATGTTTTAAGAAACAGCATTTAGAAATAACATTTAAGCTTGCTTCTGGGACAGTAAGTAGCCTAGGAGTGGGTGAGAGAGTCTGTAGTTTACTCAAGAGGTTCTGCTGCTCATCTGAAATAATTTTGTTTTAAAATTACAGATTTTAAAATGACAAAAGTACTAGTAGCAAAGCATTCTTTAAATATAGGTGTATATAGAGATATATAATTATATAAATAATTTCTCATTCTATTACCACAGTGTTAACCTCTTGGCAACAGCCTAAACTAAGACTTGCAGTTGGGAAAATGCTAGGATCCAGATCCTTGGCCAGCATTCATCCTCTTGGCTCCATTGAATTTGGTGGAACTACCCCAACTACTTCAGCTACATCACAATCCGAGCCTTGACCATTTTTTCTCCTTTTGACATCTTAACTAATTTTGACAACTTGCTAATTCATGGAACCAGTGACTTGCTTTTGGTTTTAAGTCATCAATTCTGCTTTAATTTAGGGGTGGAAGTGTTTGCAGGTTTTGCTAGATAGCCTTTGCTCTGGGAGAGCACAGAAGCCCTGCAAATGAACAGATCACATATGACCTTCCTTACTTCTTCAGAAAGTGATACATGGAGATGCAGGTGCTGTGCTTTGATTTGGTTTTGCAGATGTAATTTTTATTCCCAATTTATTGATTTTATTCTAGGGAAAACAAATGGAGAAAGAAACTCCAGAGCAAGTCCTTGAATTACAGACTGGACAAGGGAAAAAAAAACACCACCAATCTGTTTTGTTTCCTTTCTTTCTCTCCCAATAAAAAACAAAGCCAGCAACCACCCAGCAAGTTGCAGGTTACATCAGTAAAAACTAGGCTTAAACCTACATGACAGATTGCCATTGAAACCCAACTGTTTGTACCAATCACAATTGAAATGTTGTTGTTTGGCAACAAGAGCACAGCTTGAGAATGGAAAGATCTGCATGGGTTTAACCCCCTCTGTGCACACGGTCTCCATGCGCTTGGTGAGACCTTTTCCAAAGTATAAAGTTACTAAAGTATAAAAGAGAGAGCAAGATCAGGCCATAATGAATTCCCATCTGCTCACTTCAATCTGCGTACTCGATGCATATGCCAGTTTGCTGTTCGTTTTGAGGGTACTGGGTTTTTTTTTCTTCTTCTCTTCCTAGACCTGGAGCATTTGAAAGTAGGAGCTGAGTGGTATTGATTGAAATCTTTTTATGGTGACATTCTTGGCAGCTAGAACCTGTGTTTAGAAAGGATACAGTAGATCATGGCCAGATTACCTGATGACTGCTTCCCAGCACTGAAATGCTATTAAGTAGGAGCTGGTAAAGTCTTGCAGTAGCCTATTAATTATAATACAATATGGAGAGAAATGTCATCTTGTGTAATGTGAGACCTATCAAGGCTGGGAATATACAGGCTTTGGAGAGACAGATTTAAAGACCTATTCCCAACATTGTTCTTAATGTTGTTGGGTTTCTCCCTCCTCCTTCTTTCTTTGTCCTAATGTAGAGGAAACTCAGGCAAATGAACTGCTGCCATCCTCCAGACCATTCTCATTTTCTTGTGCTTGGTGCAATCAAAGGACTTTGTGCAGGAATAAAACAAGGAGATGCTGGAGGGCATCACTTCTATTCCATACGGCTGCTTCTCTGCCGCTATGAAGGTTGGCTTAGGAAGCGGCCAGCCATGTTCTGCATCAGGATGTGCTTGCAAATTCAGAAAAGAGGGGTTGCTTTTACAGCATGCCACCAAAAAAAAAAAAAAAAAAAAAGTGGTTGTGATATCTGCTGAGACAGGAAAGATCTTTCAAGAACAATATGCAAAGGGAAAGATGCTGGCCCTGAAGGTCACTAGGCTTACATGGGCCTCCAGAAAGACATGTGCCTGAACCAGAGAAAAGGGCTGCTGGCAATCCCTTTTCAGTCTCTGGGGGACAACACTACGTATTCCCTTCTGTGGTCAGTGGAAAGAAAGTGGGCTACGGTTTCTTGGAATAGGTAGCACTAGGGAAAAAGTGTTAAAAAATTCTGCCCGTGTTTGGGAAAGCACCAGAATACGGGAAAGGCAGAGAATCTCTTGTGTATCCACAAATAAGTTAGCTGCAATTATATCTGCAGTTCGTTAGTGTGCACTTTCCTTCACTGATGATTCATTGATACCTCCTGTAGTGTATATTCCGTAGATGTTTAGAAGATCAGATGGGGAGGCTCAGCGGTTTAGTAGCTGGCTTCAGTTAAGCCCAACTTCTTGTTCCAATGGTAGCTTGCATGATCTGTACTGAAGCACTGCCCTGTCCCGGTATCACAGGCACAGAGAACTGGGGAGGCAGTGGGGAGACCGTCTGGTTTAGTTATGTCTCAAAACCCACATGTTTTGGAGAGTAAGAAGCCAGAGGGGTTGCATTAATTTTTGTTATCAATGTCCTTTTCAGAACACTCACTGAAGTTTTTCATCCTAGAGCTAGAGGAAGGAGAAAGATTAAATTCTTGTTCAAATTTTGAACAAAGTTTTGGACTAGCATTTATTGTAGCCTTCACTTCCTACTGAAAAAAATTGGAGGGTTTTAGATAAAGCAATTTGCCCCTACACGGAAGTGTGCATTATGGGGCCTCAGAGATCTTTTTTTTTTTTTCCCCCTTGCTTGCTCTCTGCAGATTTCTAAGAAAAGCTCTTGAGTTTTGTCAAGTCCATTAGTCATTCACAGTGTACTAGGAATTTCAGGAGATAATCCTTGGCCTGCGGATCCATTTGTTCTAAGTATTTAGTGTTGGAAATCAAACCTGGCTGATTTTTATTGGACTCTCTTGAAATTCTTGGAATCAGGTTTCCAGTTAAAAACATGCATTTGCAAATTTAGAATTGGCTTCCTGTGAGCATTCCCCATTTTAATTAAAAAAAAAAAAAAAAAAAGCCATTGCTGCACACATCCCTGCCAGTAAACCCTTTTGCTTCTTTTTACATCAAAAATGGCAAGATTCTGACTCAATTTAAGGTATTGCAAGCCTATTAATTGAACTAGAAGTGTGACTGCTTATTCTGCTCTTGGTATGATCCATATTCTTGGAGCAAAGGGCATTATCTATATATCTGCTGTTATGGCCAATGAATTTTACAGCCACCTCTCTTTGCAATCATTTAGGAGTGCACACCAAAATATATAGCATTTTTCAGTAAAGCTAGCTCTTTACTCAGTAACTTATGGGATTAAAACAATTTTATTCTCCTTAAAAAGTGCTTCCATCTATGATGTGGTGTGAAAGGTATCTAGGCATTAACCTCTATTGGTCTGTATTAGAGAGAAAGAACCTAAATGTGTTAATTGGCCTGATTTTTTAATGGTAGTGGTTTCTACAATGTGAGGACAGAGCTCACAAAATAGCCATGTGGAACTAAAGTATATTTGGTAAACAGTGAAGAAATTCTCGATTTTAAGAGTTCCCAAATTTCTTTCTGTTTACAAGGGCATTCCTAAATTGGGGCTGTCAGATATAAAAGGAGACCACGAATTAAACCAAACCCTTCAAAACTGGCCTTTAATATAGGACATTACTACTGTTGTCTAGGTGCAGAGCTAGCTTTTTCATATTTGAAAGAAGCCAGACAACAGACGTTCCTTCTTCCAGAAAGAAACTTTGGTGATAATTTAGGGAAAGGTGCTTATTTCAGTCAAGGACAAGAGCCCCAGTAATATAGTTTCTTCGCTACATAATACTCCTTTCCTTAACTCTTCGCTGTGCATTATTAATGTAATGAGGAGGGAGGAGGGAGGCTGCACTGATACCTGAGTCGCCTAAACTCAGCATGGGATTTTAGGGAAAGTGTGACAAAATTGGCTTTGATGTTAGAAATTTGCATCTTAGCTTGGCTTAGTATCATTTAAAAACAAAAATGGATGGCAGTAATGGCCTGCAGTCTAGGGCAGCTGGAGATTTTGAGAAAGTATATTTATATATATGGTATTGTATAATTAGATATATGCTTTATTGTATATGTGCCTTTTTCAAATGCATTTTGGAAGCTCGTGGTGTCGTTCATGATATCCTACCATACCCTTTCAGAATGCACGACAAAAAACAACCCAAAGTAAACATCCCTTCTCCTATGGCGTAGTGAGGCAGATCCCTCTTCCCTTCTGCACCCTCCTCAGCAGCTTGACCGGGAGAGAGGGCCATCTTGATCCTTTGCTGTGAGATTTCCTGGAGCCAGCTGGCTTTTTAGGAGCAGGAAGGGCTGAAAATTGCCCTAGCAAAGGGCATTCCAGCTCTCCAGCCAGAGCTGGTCTCAGAGCTGGTCCCAACCAACACAGCGTCCCCAGAGCGACACTGAGACTCGCTGCAAAAGCCCCCGGGTGCCCGTTGCCCTGCAGCGTGCCAGGGCAGCGCGCTCCTGTTTCTCCCCCTCCAGAGCTTTAAGTAAAGCAACTCTCGAAAGTGGATTTTGCTGTGCTTTTAAGTTCCCGCTTAGGAACAGGAGCAGACTTTAAAGCATCTGCCGCTTGCTTCAACCTGGAAGAAGAAATCCAGCAAGAACAAAAGTCCTTTGGAAATGGTTTGCAAGTTTGACTGCCGTGCTGCTGCCGCCCTAATAACTGACAGAGAGATGAGAGAAGCCCACCTGTAGAAGATGTTGTGGGGGTTTATTAGCTGGAACACTTTGCTGAAAAGCGCCATGTTTCTTTTGGTACTTTCCTGGCTGGTTGGTGACCTAGTTTCAGATCTAGTTATTTACCCTGCACGGACGGGCGCAGCATCTAAGCGTGCCGGCCTGGGCAGGGAGGGGACTAGGCCAGCGTGCTTTCGATCAGACCCCGAGCCCAGCTCCTCGGCACCTCTCCGCTGGCTTCAGGGCCCACAGCAGTCACAGAGAGTATGTGGAAGGAGGAATTAGGTAGGAAAGAGGTAGAATTTGTTTCATAGTAAATATATTCCCTTTTACCCCATTAAGAGTTGTCCAGAAGTGGAGGTCAAGGAGAACGTCACTCTAATTTACCCTCCTACAGCCATGCCTGGGAGTGATTTCTGTCCTTCTCCTCCACTGAGGCTCTGAAGTGAACAGAGGACAGTCAGGAGGAGGTGGTGCGCTGACGTTTTGCCATGCTGCACGCTTAACAGGCCAAGACAACAATAAAACTGGTATCTGTTTAAGTCACCTAGGTGTTCAGTTGATCATGCAGACAGGCATTCCCGGTTCCTCTTTGCTTCTGGCCTTTGGGAAGGTGGTTATCAGTGTGCTCGTGTGGATCCTCATCTGGGAGGATAACTGCCCATGCTCTCTCCTTCGGTAAAAACTTTTCCTTTACATACAAATCAGGGGACCTAATGGATAGAAATGACCATTTCAACAAAGACTTACATTGCTGTGGTAAAACCTAATGTTATTTATACAGTTACAAAAAAAAAATACTGTTATGTATTTGCTAGCAGTATGTGAAGTATTTTAACAGAGTGAATGATGGCGAAGTTAATTGGATCATGTCTTGAGAGGGGCTCGCATGATGTGGATGGACTCTGTTGGGAGAAAGGGAGAGGCTTGGCCCGAAGCTTGGGCAGATGCTTCCTTCCTGCAGCAGGTGTTGATTTAGGCGACTGCACTGCAGCCCAAGAAAACATTTGAGCACGCGATTAGCCTGCTGCCGTCCCTTCGATTAGATCTGGAAGCGCACAGGAGCTTCGCAGTTCGCCGTGTGCTTAATAATTACCATTATTAGTGAGATCGGGGCCTTGCTTGCTAAGTGGTGGGGCGCAGCAGCTCTGGTTAGGCCTCAGTCACCAGCTCCCAGTTGGCGGGGCTCTGTGGGGAAGGTTCGCTTACATTTGTGTAGTAGCCTTAATCCCTCGCGCTCAGCGGTACGTGAATACCGGTAGCCTCTCGTCTGTATTATCAATCACAGATGAAATACAGACGCCTCCCGCAAGGCACGGTGGAGAGCACGACTCCGTTATTGGCACAACGAGGCCAGTTTGCAGTAAATTGGGCCATTTAGTTTTACCTCAAGTGACATCGAATAAGAAAAGCTTCTTGAAGGGTAGAGGTCACTGAATCCCCTACTATGCACTTACTGGGATTTGACATTGCTTACTGGAAATGGATGTTCGTTCCTGAACACACTGTAACAAGGGAAGGACTTTTTGGTTATTTTTGTAGTCGCTCAGATTCTGAAACTGTGATCAATTATTTGACGAATTGTCAAGTGTCCTCAGAGCTTGAACATATTCACTTCCTCTGCCATGTAGCAGTCTCCTCTGGCTTTCAGTGGTTTTCTCTTTCTTTCTCCCCCTTTTCCTTCTCTGAGCTTTAAGTCTGGGCCTGCTCATATCTCCTGTAGCTTTGGGCTGTCTAAGGGTTCTGGGGTTTGTTTTTTGTTTGGGTTTTTTTGGGGGGGGTTTTTTTGTTCATTGGCTGTACAGTCTGTTTACATATTTTTGTACTCAAGCGTAGTTTTATATTAAAAACAGGAAAAAGAAAAAAAGATAGTTGATTTGAGGAAAAAAAAAATATTGAGGTACATATTCTTTGTAACACTTTAAAGATCTAGGGTACCTTCCGAGATGATTCCACAGTGATGTAATTACTGTATATTTGCCTTCCTTTTTAGTTGGTTTTATTTTCTGGTTGTATTTTTTTTTTTTTCCTAAAATGTATATCTTTCTATGAGAAACTGGAAACTTTTAATGCAAATGTTTAGAAAGACTTAAAATTGTAAAGTAAAAAAAGTCATATAATTTTTTTTTTCCTGCTGGAAGAAAATGCTTTAAAAAAAGTTTTACTACTGTTGTATTCCAGGGTGGGGGTTACCAACCCCAGATTTGTTTCTTATGCTTTGTTCTTGGATCCTGCTTTCTAAACATGCTTATTGCAGAAATGGATGATTTGCTTATATTAGTTTAAAAAAAAAAAAAATTCACCAACAAAACCACCTTTTTGGGTTATTTTTCTGTTCAAGTGCAATACTTTCCCTGACGTCTTATTAATGTACAATGATTTCTTTTTTCTTTCCTCAGTCTACACAAATCAGTGAAACAAAATGCTCTGTCTTAAATACATTCAAAGATAAGGTTCAACTAACTACGTGAATTAAGATTGTGACTGACAAAAGGTGAGAAACTAAATTAAGGTGAAAGCCCATACCTTAACTCCTGTTTTTATTTGACATTGAAACATATCCAGTGTATGAATTAAGGACATACCTGTTCTTGCCTCTTCCTTCATTTTCTTTTATAATTGCAGCTTTCTTTTTAAGTAAAGCACTTAATATTGATGTTTATTAAAAATAACAAAAAAAAAAAAAAAAAAAGCTCTTTTGGTCTGATCCAAAACCCACTCAGTGGAGACTCTTGTTGACTTTGATGATGGATTTTGGATTAGGCCTAATGTCTTAGCTAGGGCAAAACTGCCATTTACTCTAATGGGAGAGATTTGCCTGCATAAGAATTACAGGACTCGTGTCCTTTATCTACCTGAGAGACCAGAAAAGCTTCTTTAGACTTGTCCTTGTCTTATATAAGTTTAGATGGGACTTGTTTTACATATCATACATATTTATATATAGTGTATTTTTAATGCCTTTTTTTTTCCCCCAGTAGACTGAAGCCGCTGTTCTGTAAATATGTATTTAGGTACGTAATAAAAAAAAAAAAAATCCCGTTGAGATTTCTTTGAAAGGCAGTTACTGCGCATGCACAGTAGCCACTTTTGTCTTTTAAATTTGTATTTAAGATGTTTCTTTTTAAAATAACAAAGGTGAGGAGACTGTATCCTGTTCTGATTGATTGCCAAATTATTTCCCAGACTCTTGCGTTTGAGTTCAAAAAGAAAAATGCATTTGGTGGGCGACTGTTGCAGTTGCCCACAGGTTCATGCTCCTTGGGCCAAATTCTGGTAACCTCACGTAGGTTGTTCAGGTCCTCCCCCAAACAGGGACCGCACTGAAGCAGTGGGATCACAGCAAAGCACGCACCATTTTGTGCATGTAATTTCAGGCTATCAGGTCTGACCTCTTTGTCACGGCATCTTCCCTGCCTCATACAGAGTTGCACTCTGCCCACTTTAGTGCTGTTTTCCTGAAGCAAGCCGGGTGAGTAATCTGGCAAATGACCACTTTTCTCCCAGGTTACAAACTTTTAGTTCTGTGACAGATGTTCTGAGCTCAAATCTTTCAAAATAAAAAAAAATAAAAAAAAATAAAATAAAAAAATAAAACCAAACAAAAACAACAGAGAAATCAGAGTTTATTCCAAAAGCCAGTGAAGACACTGGGAATTGTCCCATTGCTCTACGTGGTCATTGGAACATGCTCTTACAAAAGGAGTTCAGAAATGATCACTATGACAGTGGTGCATGTGAGCAACCCTAATGTAAACCTGTATCCCCCTGCTAAAAACGTTTTGCCGCTATAGACTGAACTATGGGACTTATTTTTTTTCCTTCTTAGTATACATGCATACATATGGTTCCACATCTGTATGTGTGTACTCTGTACATGTGTGAGTGTTGTACAGCCATGTGAGAGTGTGAGTCTGTATGTGTGTATAAATAAAAGAAGCTGCAGAAACTTTGTAATACTTTGTGAAAAGGATTATATTATAAAGGTTTGTACTGTCTTGAGTGCACAGCTACTGGAATAAATGTAGGGAATCTCAGGAACAAGCATATAATTTGTCCAAGAATTATTTCTTCTCAGAAGTGTAAGTGCAGTTTTTAATTCTGTATATTATTTAATATTTTACCAATAAAAATAAACTTCTGACACGAAAGGGGTTTCCATTCAAGCTTTCTGGAAACATTGGTGTATACATACAGTTTTCTTTCTTGCAGCAGGAAACACGCATGGGAATTTGGCACTTCAAATGAATTGCATTTCTACCTGATAACAAATCCTGTTAATTAACTAGAGAGACTAAATGCGTTATGAGTTGGGGTTATGAGTATGGATTATGAGACTGGCGAATTGGGCACAGATCCACTTTTAATATTCATTGAAGCTAATGACATTCCCTTCATCAGCTTCAGCATGAGCTAGAGAAGTATTCCCCCTAAGGTCCTACTACGTAAAATGGTGGCATTGGTCACCTGCCAGTTGGTCTACCATGTTTTTGAAATGAGTTAGTGGCCCAAGGTCCAACTTTTTCTAGAAAACACTCAGACCACGTAAACAATTCTTTTGAACGCCTTCCCTCAGCATGGGTTTTTGGCTGAGTTCCCCTCTGCTGTATCCAGAGGTGATCTTCTCAGTAGGGATTTATTGGGTAGTTCATAGCACTTAACTTGTTCTTTCTTTCGTAATGCAGCTATCAATCTGGTAGCATTCACAGTACAAACTTCAGAATAAAAGGAAAATCTCATGAAGCCTTGTAAGTTGTTTGTTGTTTGTTTTAAGAATCTCTTGTAAAGTCTTGGTTAAAGATTAACCAGCCTCTCCCCATACTAAAAGTGTTCATCATTGACATGAGAACGGAAACTCCTTAAGATATCATCTGAATAAAACTTAATCTTCCTTTAAGTCATGTTTGATGTATGTTGTCTCCGAGGAATGCTTTTGTTCGATGAGCAGAATTTCCCATTTTCTTTTGCTCAGGGTTGCCAGATTACTGATTTTGCTTCAGAAAGATGCAAGATTCAGCTAATGGAACAGTCCAAATATTTAATGCCTGAAGGAGAAATCATGTTGTACCATTTTAAGACAGAAATGACTGGCTTGACCAACTGGAGGTGGTGATGCTCTTTTCATTGACTTCAGATAAGGGTCTGAGAAGATGAGGGGAGAGCTCACAGGTAGAAACTAAATGACTGAAAATCATTAAGGCTGCTGAGTCACTTGCAGGAGTGAGATTCTGTGCATGGCCTCATGTTATTAAGGAAGAGAGTCTTAAAAATCTGGCCGCCATTCAGGGCCAGCAGGTTGTGCTTGTTCAAGTGTCTGGGTGAGAGTCATACCACGGTGTACCATCGCCTTTTTCTCCAGACCACCCTGTCAGCAGCTGCAAGCAAAGGGCAGGATGACCTCACCCATTCAAATCTGTCTAGGCAGCAGGGAATCGTGGCTAATCCTTCCCCTGCATCGGTTTTGCTGGGAAACTTACTCTACTGAAAACAGCCTTTTCCTGCTTGATCGTAACAGAGGCTTAAAAATTACTCCAGTGATCAGTGTCTGCATATGCTGTCATCGTCAAGTCCCAATTTGCCCTATGGGAGGCAACTGGTTTCAAAATACTTCGTCATTTTCTCTGTTAGTGGATCAAATGATGTAATTGCAGCGGGTCTTTTAAACTGCAGCATCACCCTTCATGTTGATCGACTGGATCAATCTAGTAGCCAGGTAGGCGACCTATTTCTGACCTGCCTGTCCAGCACCTCAGCATTAAGCTGAAATTCCCCTCGTCACCAACAGGCCGTGACAGCGCAAGTGAATTTTGAGCAGCGTGCTCTGACAAGTGCCTTCTGCAGCTTTACCAAAACCAATATAGTTTTCCCAGTTAATAAAGGTTTAAGTGTTGGTTCCTGGCTTTCACTACTATGGTGCTAATATTTCTATTTTTATGCAGTACTTTCAAGAAATTACTAAAGCTGAGGGTAAACTTGTGTTTTTAAAACGTGGTGAATCAAAGTACATTTTTCTCCATCTCTGTATTCGAATGTCATATCCCAGCCCTCCAATGAATCATTTCCCACCAAGACACCACAGAATATGTAACAGAACCATGTTAATGGGAGGCAACGGTAGGCCTTCAAAATTGTGTTATGAAACTCACAATAATCGAGGGACTAAAAATAAATTTTGCTGGGATTGCAGTTTGAACATGCTTGATTTTTTTTTTTTTTCTTTTTAGTCAACCCTAATGTCGTTAGTCCTCAGTAAACCTAGCTTTACCCTTCTGCCCTTCAGTGCTTATTTTTGTCTCTTCTTCGTGTATCATATAAGCAAGTCGTAATTTCCAGCATGCAATTATCAGTGTTTATTTTTCTTCACAGCAGAGTACCTTAAGAGCCACAACGACTTCTGGATTCAATGAAATATGAGTTGAAAGGATTACTGTGCAAGTACTCAGGTCGCTTAAAATTTAAGGGTAAGAATGAAAGCTCTTTTCAAAGGAATATACTTGTGAAATAGCCTGTGTGTGTCCTATTAATTCCTGGTACAGAGATTAGGGATGGTGTCCCAGAGTACAACATTTCCCAGGGATTTCTGTCAGTGGAGAAACTGAGCCCTTCTAATGAGACTGTATAAATGCTCAATATTATCTCATTATTTTTCATTAATCCGCGCACACCAGCCCGCCTCCACACGCTGTAATTCCGTGTTACCACCCATGTTCACATTAAAATAGGAACAGATTATACAAGACTCCCACACAAATCGTGAACCTCTATCCCTTCTGATCTGTCACCGGCCATCCCTGGGACAGAGGAACCTCTTCCCGAGGGAAGAAATCATCTTTAACCCTGGCAGCCCAGCCCTTCAGAGCTAAACGCCTGTTTTTATTCCTGGCAAACACTACTGTGGCATCCAACATCTGAGCCTGGATGAAACTACCCTGTCAAAACTGATTTTTAACAGAAAATTGCTTTTCAATGAACCCATTCTCTATGGAAAGTGTCTGGTTTTCATAGATTTGGGAGGATTTGGGGATTTTTTTTGCTCAATAAGAAAGCCTGAAACTCTAAACCCTCCAAAGGTTTCTGGGTTATTTTGTTTGGTTTCAAGAGGAAATACTTCCCTGCCCTCAACTCCTGTTTTCATATCAGTTCAAATAATGTCAAGACACTATTTGCTGCTCTTTCCCATTATTTTTGTTACTTTTCCTGTTTCAGGCTGCCTGTGTGTAGTTTATAGGGCGTGGTGAGGAATGTAAATTATTATTTTCATGTAGGTGTGGTAGCTATTCAGTTGTAAATCCTGTTTTCAATCCTTCTGACTATTTTATTTGCGATCTGTAATATTGATCTGTTCTCAGGGCAGAGAACCCTGCAATCTGTCAGGAGCAGGGACTTTTATTCCTTGCTAAAATAAAGCATTCAAAGCACTCCCAGAAATCTCTGAGATGGAGAAGAAAAAGAGATCTTGCTCGAAGCCCGTCTCTTTTTTTTTTTTTTTTTTTCTCCCTCTTTGAAACAAGTAGAGGAATTTGTTTTTGCAGTTGATTTGTTTTTATCAGTTAGCTGCAAAATCTGACCGGCCTCCCTTTTCAAATTCATCTGCCATGATAGCCTGCCACTGGCTGTCTCTTGGTGACTGATTTTAAAAAAACAAGTGTAAAGGTTTGCCTCTGAATGTGATTCATGACGGTGGAGAAACAAGACTAATCTACAAAAGGGAGCTCTGCAGTTGCTGTTGGGCTCGAGTAAAGTTGTCAAACTGTTTTCAGTTCCAGGCGAGCCGTAGCAGACATGCCTGAAACACAGCTGTATTTTCACACAAGCTGTGAAGAGGCATTTTGGCAGCCCGCTGTCAGCAGTACTGCAGATGCTCTGGCTCTCCAAAACCTTTTTCTGAACCGGTCCCACCTTAGGAGGGACGAGCTGCTGTGTGTCACAAGGAGGTACAGCACCTGAAGGACCGGACCCTCAGCTGCTACAAGCCTACATGGCCTGGAGCTAAGCTGATTTACCCTGTTTCTCTGCAAGATGCAAGTGCTCCTCTGAGCTCTTACGGGCATGCTGTCATCTGTGCATGTCCTCTCGTATGTACCTGTTCTGGCGTTGGCCATATAACCACCAAAATGGGTGATTTTGAGACAGAATCTACCTGTGTTAGTGCAACTTGACTTCTAGCTGTCAGTTCAGTCTCTATCTCATATATGGATAAATCCAGACATCTAGGAGTACAGTCATCTCAGATTGTATTTATTTATTTATTTTAACTGTTAGCTTGAGGCATGTACGGTCCTTGTGCCTGAGGCTGTGGCTGGTATCAATCATTGTTCTCCGTGAAAACTAAAGTTTGGGTGTTGCATGTTGCACACTCAAAACTGATGGCCACAGCTGACTGTTTTGGCCAGAGTACTGTGAAAAATAAGGAATATAGTTGTCCGTGGATACCTCTGTATATTTTTATCTATCAATGAGATGTTTCGATGGCTGGCCTGAAAACAACCCAAGTCCTACCAGCTTGAAAAGCTTATCCTTTTACTGAAGTGGCAGAAATGTTTGGGCAACAATTGCATTTCCCGAGCATGGTTCGGATGCCTGCAGCACATACTGAGTGTTATGCTGCTGCTGTGTGGCCGTGATAAGGCATTTAAAGTGCTTTTTCTTGGGAGTTCTTTTCAAAAATTAATTTCTTCAGTCAAATGTTCTCTTTATTTGCCTTCAGCTTCCCCCCCTTTCCTCCAGTAAGAAAACAGAAGTTGTCAGTAGACATTAGAATACAGCAAGGTTTAAATCAATCCAGGTTGATGTTGATTGTTTGCATGATGTTAGTTCTTAGAAGCCCTTCAGAGCTCAGTGGTGTTCTAGCACAGAGCAAAAATAGGTCCTAGCTAGCACTAACGGTTTTATCATCTAATTATAAAAAGAAACCAAGCTTCTTCTCATTTTCAGAAGTCCAAAGATATTTTTGTATTTCTATTCTGACTCCTTTATTTGTCAAAGCATGGATACCAGACTTGGAGACAGTATTCCAGTAACTGTCCTTCAAGCATCTTGCTGCTTCTTGAGACTATTCCCCGTGTACTTACATATGGGTATATATGGAGATATATATCCTCGTGTCCTGACGAATGGCTTTTCAGTACTTGTGGAGCAGTGAGCTGTGCTTATGATTGTGCATCGCACTTTCACCCTGTGTTTAGCTGACCTCTCAGCTTTGGCTGAATCACTGCTTTTCAGAATACAACCCCCCTCCTTATAAACGTGGCCAGCATTGCTGGTCCTTGGGTGTCTGATCTGAAGCTGAGATGTACTAAAACACATGTTGGTCAAATGAGTCCAGCTACCCAGCAGATCCAGGTGGCTTTGGATAACTGACATGCTAATCTTTATCATGCTCTCACAGAGCTGCCTCATCTGTGAACATTACTGGCTCTATTTCTCTGGGGTTTTTGTTAGATCTTTTGATAAGATATTAAATGATCTGGGTCAAAACCAGATCTGCATGGGGTCTTGCTAGAAACACTGCAGCTGGATGATGTCCTGTTTGCAGTCCCTACTGGAAACTCTCTGGTACATAAGTGGGCTCTGATCCTTTTAATACATGAGCATTGATTTTTCTGTTTTCTTCCAAGAGGGGGAAAGCGATAACAGTATCAATAGGATACCATTTTACACTGGCAGTATCTGCTGGAAAGGAAGTTTTTAAGATTAAGCTGGTGTGATGCAACTTGTGCAGGATACTTCAGTTGCTCTTAGGAGACAACTTTATGTAACAGATGAAAGGCAAAGGACTTCTTGGGTTTGGTATAGACTCAGTTATAAAAGAAAACTTAAGGTCTTAAGGAATGGTTTTGAAGATAACATCGCTAGCCAGTTCATTCAGCTTCACATGCAATTGCTGATATGTGAGTG